CCTAGGTGCAGTTAACTAGTACGAAAAAGGTTAAATTAGCGTTGATCAGCTTCAAGCCTGATCTGCACTCATAATTTCTATATGGAATCGTGCATTTGTGCAGCTTTGCGCAGAGGCGATAACGTGACCAATGAGGCTCAGCCGAGGTGCGTTTATTGCTGGTTGAAAACTTTTCCCAATTTGTGCACGTAAGTGGGAAAGAGAGGGGAGGGGGATATGAACTTGCGGTTGTGAAGAGCAGTCAAAAGAAAATGAAGGAATTAGAAGGGAAGTGGATGGAGATGTTGGGTTGGTCCATAAGTCTTGCAACAAATTACATTTAATGCTAGCTAGAATTTTTGTGAGAACTCCGAAAAATCCGCAACATATTTGCTGACGTAGCATCCACCTTTGCAATTTCAGCCAACCGTCCAGCTCGTTGTCTCGCTACTTGTTATGGATATTACACCGATTTCGCGAAAAGGTCTTCGTGCCCATAATTTTTACGAGTACTGCTTGGAATGTTCCGCAAGTCATGCTACACCAAGGATTAGCCAGAAGATGGGCGAGGGCACGCTCTCTCAATTCACGGTGCACAGGCGCCTCACTCTGGCTTTTTATTTGAAGATGATCCACACTCCAACCACCCCGTGACTGGCAATCACGATGCTCTACCTGGCGCTGTTGAAAAGGGATCTGGATAGACTATCGATCATTTGTCAGAGCAATTTCGATGCAGCACTGAGGCATCTCCAAAGACTTGTAAAGATCCGAAAATATAGAGTTTGGATCCCACATGCCTTGAGCCCGATTCAGCTCCAAACACGATCTGACACCGTTATGTTCAAGTCGACTTACTATGGATTCTTCGATTGACCATCCATCACATTTGCCGAAGATGAGGAGTGGGTACAGTGTGCTAACAAATAAACAAGCGGCGGTAGTCCAGCTCAAACGCTTCGGGAGTTCTTACTGCTAAGTTCAACCTCGTCCAAGTAGGGCCTTCTCGGATTTTTGGTGGAACACGAGAGGAGTTGAGCTCTGGAAACCCCTTCGTGTAGATGCGGAAGTCAACCGTCCACAGCTCGATTGCAACGCTTTCCAATACGAAAGAAAAGCAAAGCAAAGTTTGCTTTTTTATGACACCGTTGAACAAGACAGATAATAAAGGCCGCGGAACGGCTGTTACCGTAACCCGTGGCCGCGCCCTTTCAATGAATTAAGGTAGATTGAACGCTCACTCCACGGACTGCGATAACCGTCTTGTCACAAGCCACCCTACCGCGGGTGACTATCCAAA